TGCCGCGCTCTGCCACAACTGGTTTATTGGCTTGAAGCCGCGTGAATCGGCCATCGTTTGAGCTGCACGCCAGGACACAGACACAGACAGAATTTATACAACATCATCATCGTCATTCGGATGCTTCCTCAACGTCGTCCTCGGCCGTGCTGGCTTAACACCGCCCGATGCTGACTTCCCGAGGTATACTGAGAGCAACGAGCAACCAGAAAAGTCCTTTTCATTTTGGAAGATTTTGGTCCCCTTCGTTTCGGTCGTTCGGGTGCCGTCGTCCAGAACGGTCATGAGCAGAGCTACAGACGCTGAGTTAGGTGGCACACAATTATCAATGCACTTTCTCGATTTGGGCATTTTAGAATTTCGAATTTTTTTTAATCTTTATAGTTTTAAATTTCTGGATCAATACATTTCCAAATTTTTACAAATTATTATTGTTTAAAATTAAGCTTGACAATTTGCAAATTTGGGACTTGCAAACATAAGGGTATGGAACTATAACTGTTTGGAAATTCAGTGATTTGAAAATTTAAGAACTTAAGATTTAAGGAGTTGAAAAATTTGTTACTTGAAAATTTGTGAACTTGGTACTTGAAAGTTTAGTTAGGTTTTGGGCTCAGGAATTCAGGATTTGAAAATAAGGGAATTTACAAACTACAAAACCCAAAAATATAAATTGGAACTTCACAAAATTTACAACAATTAAAAATTTCTAAATTAAAAAATCTGCAATGTTTCCATAACTAATTTTGCAGATCTAAAAATATGAAATCTCAGGAATAGTGTTTGTATCGTTCAACCAGCAGCTCAACAGTGAACACCCCGTGCTCTCAGCGCCCGTCTGCCCTGTGGTCACTTTCACTGCCCATCACTGTTCCAGACAACAGCAGAAGCAACGTATTGCACTTGCACTTCGAGCAATCATTATGCGGTGATCACAAATGATGTACCAGTGAATCGTTATGCAACATATCGTGGAAGAACAATTTTGTTGTTGTACTGCACGCCGTGTTAAGCGTAGAAAAACGAGTGCGTGTAGGTAAGTGGTATAAAACGTCATTAAGCCGCTATGCAATCGGATTAGAAATTATGTAACGACAAATCAGTGGAACAGATGAAACGAATGAAACGTTTGACACGAGTTGGAGAAGTTACGATGGACTTGTAGAAGGACGATGTTCAGGGCCGACCCAGGTGCAATCGATACGTTCGGGCGACAATTTTTTGGGGAAACTTGAGAATTTGAAGATGTGGAATATTTGGGAATACAAGAAATTTGGGGATTCGTAAATTTATATTTTATAGTAGGGTAGTTATACATTGATAATATTTATATTTATATATTGATGGTTTTATCATTTGAAAATTTGGGAATTTGGAAAACAATTTGGATACTTGAAAAATTGAAAGATTTTGAATTGAAATTTAGACAAATTGTATAATAGAAGAATTGAAAAATTAAAGAACTGCAAAATGGAAAAATAGAAAAATTGAAGAATTAAAAATTGACAACATGAAAATTTGAAAAAATTGAAGAATTAAAAATTGACATGAAAATTTGAAAAAATTGAAAAATTGAAAAATTGAAAAATTGAAAAATTGAAAAATTGAAAAATTGAAAAATTGAAAAATTGAAAAATTGAAAAATTGAAAAATTGAAAAATTGAAAAATTGAAAAATTGAAAAATTGAAAAATTGAAAAATTGAAAAATTGAAAAATTGAAAAATTGAAAAATTGAAAAATTGAAAAATTGAAAAATTGAAAAATTGAAAAATTGAAAAATTGAAAAATTGAAAAATTGAAAAATTGAAAAATTGAAAAATTGAAAAATTGAAAAATTGAAAAATTGAAAAATTGAAAAATTGAAAAATTGAAAAATTGAAAAATTGAAAAATTGAAAAATTGAAAAATTGAAAAATTGAAAAATTGAAAAATTGAAAAATTGAAAAATTGAAAAATTGAAAAATTGAAAAATTGAAAAATTGAAAAATTGAAAAATTGAAAAATTGAAAAATTGAAAAATTGAAAAATTGAAAAATTGAAAAATTGAAAAATTGAAAAATTGAAAAATTGAAAAATTGAAAAATTGAAAAATTGAAAAATTGAAAAATTGAAAAATTGAAAAATTGAAAAATTGAAAAATTGAAAAATTGAAAAATTGAAAAATTGAAAAATTGAAAAATTGAAAAATTGAAAAATTGAAAAATTGAAAAATTGAAAAATTGAAAAATTGAAAAATTGAAAAATTGAAAAATTGAAAAATTGAAAAATTGAAAAATTGAAAAATTGAAAAATTGAAAAATTGAAAAATTGAAAAATTGAAAAATTGAAAAATTGAAAAATTGAAAAATTGAAAAATTGAAAAATTGAAAAATTGAAAAATTGAAAAATTGAAAAATTGAAAAATTGAAAAATTGAAAAATTGAAAAATTGAAAAATTGAAAAATTGAAAAATTGAAAAATTGAAAAATTGAAAAATTGAAAAATTGAAAAATTGAAAAATTGAAAAATTGAAAAATTGAAAAATTGAAAAATTGAAAAATTGAAAAATTGAAAAATTGAAAAATTGAAAAATTGAAAAATTGAAAAATTGAAAAATTGAAAAATTGAAAAATTGAAAAATTGAAAAATTGAAAAATTGAAAAATTGAAAAATTGAAAAATTGAAAAATTGAAAAATTGAAAAATTGAAAAATTGAAAAATTGAAAAATTGAAAAATTGAAAAATTGAAAAATTGAAAAATTGAAAAATTGAAAAATTGAAAAATTGAAAAATTGAAAAATTGAAAAATTGAAAAATTGAAAAATTGAAAAATTGAAAAATTGAAAAATTGAAAAATTGAAGAATCGAGGAATCGAGGAATCGAGGAATTATGAATCGAAAACTTGAAAACTTGAAAACTCGAAAAATTGAAAAATTGAAGAATTAAAAAATTGAAGAACAAAAGAATTGAAAACTTGAGGAAGTAAAAAACTAAAAAATCCGTGAAAATTTAAAAATGTGCGAATTTAGAAATTTAGTGAATCTGAATCAATTTGCACGCAGCATCAGAAATGGTAGGGCCGGCCCTGATACTGTCTGGCCAATGTTTTTCTGGTGATTCGACCTGACGTGTAATCGGTTCGCAGAAGAATCGGTGATTGTTCGTTGCGAATTAATCAGAACGATTCTCGTGTCAATTCGCCGAGAGTCTGACAGCAGCCAGCACGCCGAGGCACGCTGATTAATTCACGAAAAGTTGCTCACGGTTTGTACACTCGCAAACCTATGCAACTTCCTAGAACACTGACAGTCGACTGTTACCGTGAAAATGGTAATTTAATGATAGTAGTTGCTACTCTGCAGTGATTCCATTCTGTTCTTGACGTTGCACGATGAGGCCATATCAAAGTACATAGACGTGGTGTCAAAAGTGGGCAGAATGAATTTTGACGAAATAATAGGGTTTTGTGGAGAACTTAGTTTTACTGATACCATAGAATGCTCTATAGAAATTTTGTGTATGTACCTAAACTTTCTATTAACTTTTGTTGGTGATTCGTGATATAGTTTCTTATTAGCTTTTGTTCCTGTTTTATGATATAGTTTCCCTTAAAATTTATCCAATAAAGTTATAACCTTAATAGTTATTCAATAAGTTCAGTAGCAATATGACAATTAAGGTACTTGTGCATAAATACACAAGTTCATTACATAAACTTTTTACATTTAATTACATTTCATGATACACTACAGTACTCTGAATTCTAAATTTGAGTGAGTCAAAAATGACCGTACCTCAAATCTATCTCCAAGTATATGGTCTCAAATATTCACGAGTTTAGACAAATGGTGAACGCAGCCACACCTCGCTAATAAAGGCTTGATGCGCCCAGATCAATACCGTTAATTGCACCCGAGTGCAATTCTTTCGCACCGTTTTATTTCGAGTTTCTGCCAACTTTCGTTTCACTAGGGCCCTCGTCCACAAAAATCGTGGACTACCACAGATCTAGGACATGATCGAGCTACATCGAAAGCGTCAGATTGCAGCAAGATCGTGACGCAGTAATTAACCGAGCTTCCTGCATGCATGGACAATTAAAGTACCATGGTAACGAGCGTTATTAATATCGTTCGCTGTCATTAGGTAAACTCGAATCTCGAGTTGGACACCACCAGGCACCGCATCTGAAATAACAATGTTTGCCAAACGAATTCTCCGGGTCGATTCAATCGATCGATTCGATGAGAAATTGCCGATTTCGAAATTTCCGAGAATCATTCTGTGTAATTCGTGACATGCATTGGCGCAAGGACTGGGATACGCCAATGGACATTTTTCTTTATGAACATTAACCCAGCGAGCGTTGAGTCTTCTAACTAAATTTTTAGGAGCTCAAGGAGGAAAATTTGGAGGAGATTATTGAAACATGTTGCAAAATGAGTAGATGGCTACAAGGTATTTAAATGAAATCTCAAGTGACGAATTGATATGGAATTTTGCTAACATATAGTTTCCACAGGTAATCCACATATCCTTGCAACATATATGTGTTTGACATCTCTATAACAAATATTTTACCTAACACCTCAGTATCAACTATTTCACCTACCACCCCCTAAGAAATAATTCAGCTACACCCCCTAACAAATAATTCATCTAACATCCCCGTAATAAATAATTCAGCTAACTTTTGTAACAGGTATTTTACCTAACACTATAATAAATATTTGAGCTAGACCTATATAGCAATCCACGTAACAAATGACCTAACACTCGCCAGGTTAAAAATGAATCTGAAGGATCGATGATGCTCGTGCAAAGTCTCGAAGCGTTCTTAAATTCTCCCCTAATTAACGGTAATTAGAGAATCATCGAGGCGCCTCGTCTCGATCAATTAACGCTGCAATCTCGAGAAAATCGTGCGTACACGTGTCCGGCAATTACGAAACGATTTAGCTGGCTATTAAACGTGATTGCCGGGTAAATAAGCATAAATGTGCTGCATGATCGACTCACCTTAAATAATTCGCAAGCCATCGTGCTCGACGATGATATTAAACACGCCACGACGTTTCCCGTGTCCCGAATCGAGTCGCGAGGACCACTCGCCACTCGGGGTTTCTGTAATGTAAGCGATGGTCCGTTGAAAACGGGTCAAGCCAGGTGACAGACGGGTGGAGAAGTTAACGCGATAAAACGAAAGAATCGACGGAATTTCCACCGTGGATCACTGCGGTACGTTTCAACGAACCACGTACTCCGATCTTGTTCTCTGACTCACTGCAACACGATCGTGAACACTACGTGAACCTGGAACACAAAGAAAAACGTGTGTCACACTTGTGCGATGATAATCGTAAGCCAATTCTTTGACACAATTCATTTATTGTGCTTGTACGGGGTGTTGATGAAGTATGATACATAATATTTGTTCGACTTTGTTCCTGAGATTGAATTCAAAGAATATTTGAAAAATTATGGCTACTTCTATTAGCACACTACTATTCTTATCTTATGAAGTAAGAATTTTTATTGTTAGTAAAAATTATTTGATTACCTTAAACAAAAGAAAAATAGTTATAGTAAATATAACTAGTTCAGAATATATTTATACAACTTTATAATAAATTCTAAATATTTTTGTTACAATATAATACAACACAAAACAGATTTACTAGCTACTTCTATTAGCACACTACTATTCTTATCTTATGAAGTAAAAATTGTTATTGTTAGTAAAAATTATTTTATTACCTTAAATAAAAGAAAAATAGTTATAGTAAATATAACTAGTTCAGAATATATTTATACAACTTTATAATAAATTCTAAATATTTTTGTTACAATATAATACAACACAAGACAGATTTGTAACATAACATACATACTTTGATAGGCAAAGTACGAATTATTCATTATTAAAATTATTAACCATTATTAGTTAATAATAATCCGTATATTTATACGGAAGTTGCATTTAGAAAACTTGTGAAGTCAATGATATGCATATTAAACGATTTCAATTGAAAAATTAGAAAACACAACATAATTAACTCTACAAGTTGACTCATTTAAATAAGAAAAAAAGTATACGTGTAATAAAAAATGAAAGAGGAGGAATAATTCATTTATTTTCCACGCAGCGTATGCTAAACAGACGTATTTTCCACTCAATTAAAGTACAATAATACAATTAAAGATAACAATCTTTCGGTGAATATATTATTGCGTTAGAACCGAGTAACGAGTACACCTGAGTGTACCTCTTCTGCGTTTATCAAGTTAAAATTGTATAATGTACACATGTTGTGTTTCAGTGAACAATGAAACTGTATTATAATTATTTGTAACATTGTAGTAGTTGGAAGAATTCGACAATTTTTGGAAGACAATAATTGGAAGAGTTGAAATATATGGAAGAGGAAGATTTATGTTATTGGTGTATTAGCATGTTGCATGTGTGGTTCATATGTGAATTATTATGAGAGTCAATAATATGGTGTGAAATTGTAGTAGTTGAAAGAATTCGACAATTTTTGGAAGTCAATAATTGGAAGAGTTGAAATATATGGAAGAGGAAGATTTATGTTACTGGTGTATTAGTATGTTGCATGTGTGGTTCATATGTGAATTATTATGAGAGTCAATAATATGGTGTGAAATTGTAGTAGTTGGAAGAATTCGACAATTTTTGGAAGACAATAATTGGAAGAGTTGAAATATATGGAAGAGCAAGATTTATATTATTGAGGGATTAGTATGTTACGTGTGTGGTTCATATGTGAATTATTATGAGAGTCAATAATATGGTGTGAAATTGTAGTAGTTGGAAGAATTCGACAATTTTTGGAAGACAATAATTGGAAGAGTTGAAATATATGGAAGAGCAAGATTTATATTATTGAGGGATTAGTATGTTACGTGTGTGGTTCATATGTGAATTATTATGAGAGTCAATAATATGGTGTGAAATTGTAGTAGTTGGAAGAATTCGACAATTTTTGGAAGACAATAATTGGAAGAGTTGAAATATATGGAAGAGCAAGATTTATATTATTGAGGGATTAGTATGTTACGTGTGTGGTTCATATGTGAATTATTATGACAGTCAATGATATGGTGTGTATAATATAACTAGAGATATAGGGTTACAAAGATATGGAAATACATATAAGGATACAAGTATAGGGACATACATAGAGGTGTGGAAATATAAACACATATGTGTAGGGACAGAGAGTCATATGGGAGTCTAGGTATCCAGGTATGTGAGACTATACAAATCTGACGATATAGGGATCTATGTATTCAAATATCTAAATATTTAGATATCTACCATCTTACATTATTGATATATTAATATGTAGTTCATATGTGAACTAATATGAGAATCAGTATGTGGTATGTAAAATATAACTAGAGATATATGTAGGGTTATAGGGATACAATTAAAGAGGGACATAGGTGGATACAAGTATAGAGATATGCAAATATGAGGATAAAAGTATAAAGATATAGAGACATACATAGATGTGTGGGAACATACACACATATGTGTAGGGATAGAGAGACATATAAGTCTTTAGGTATGTGAGACTGTACAAATCTCACGATATAGGGATCTAGATATCCAAATATCTAAATATGTAGAAATCTACAGATATAGGAATCTAGAGACCCAGATATCTAAATAATTAGGTATCTATAGATCAAGAGATCTAGAAACCCAGATATCTACATATGTAGGTATTCACAGATCTAGGAATCTAGATAACTAAATATTTAGCTATCTGAACTTCCAGAGATCCAGACATCTAAGTATCTTCAGAAGCAGGGATCTAAAGACCCGGATATCTAAATAATTAGGTATCTACATATCTAGGAATCAGGAGATCCAAATATCCACATATGCAAGTATCTAGGAATCTAAATATCTAAATATCTAGAGGTCCAAGAATTCAAGGATATATTTAAGGATGCACTGCTCCAGATATGTAAGAATTCAACTAAGTAGAAATTCACATATCTAGAAATCCAGTAACGTAAGAATCTATACAAATATGCCAGACTCCACATATAAAAATCCGAATACTTCATCAACAGATTAAAAAATCCAAGAACGTAGAATACAGAGATTCACATATGAAAAGAAGACGTAGAAGATATCTCAAGATCTTAAGATGTAGAAATATCCTATCAATGAGAAATCCAGAAAATTACATAAATCGAATCTAGGCAATCTTCAAACATTATCGTAATCCTCTAACTATATAAAATACCAAGAATTCTCGAAAAGTATTCCAAGTATTCGATAATAAGCTGCTCCTCATGAAGATGGATCAATGTTATCTAAAACAATGCACAAGTCGAAACGCCACGTAAAACTATTATCTATAACGTTGCACAATTCGTTTGCCTGATTAATCTCAATCACGCGGAAGAAAATTGTTCTCGTAGCAAATGCGAGAAAAAAAAAACACGAGGAAGATGGAGGACAAAACGAGGGAAGAGAAAAGGAGCAACCGTGGAACGAGCATTCAACCGATGATGATTATTCTCCTTTAACCGACACGGTTTTTGTCGTTCCCTGGTGAAATGAAAAGAATGCAGCGAGTAGTGAAATTGCCTGAACACCGAGGAACGATGGCATCCTCGTTAAAGAAATCGTGAATGCGTCTTCGTATGAAAGGAGACGATCGTAAACACGGACAAGCAATGTATAATTATGGATCAACGGCGTAATTTTCCGATATGACCTTGCTTTGTAACACGAAACAAAGTTCTCGCGAACCAACTGTTATAATGGTGAACGGCTGCGCCTTATTGTTGCAAAATTACTAACTTTTGCGCAACACAGAAGTGCGGAATTTTTGTGTACTTTGGATACTTAATTAGAGAGTTTACGAATTTATGAATTTTGGGAATTATGAGGGTCAAAGTTATGGGTTTTTGGGAGTTCATTTGGGAAGGGTGATTGGAAATTTGATTTTAATTGATTTGTATCAATAAGTATAAGTAATTGAGGAATTATTTATGAATGATTGATATATATGGATAAGTGTAGATAATTGATAGATTATTGATAAATGATGGACTTATATCGATAAGTATGAATAATTGATGGTTTATCGATAAATAATTGATTTATATCGATAAGTATAAGTAATTGAGGAATTATTGATAAATGATTGATTTATATCGATAAGTATCAGTAATTGATAAATTATTGATAACTGATTCATTTAAATTGATAAGTTCGAAAATTTGGAAATTGGGAAAAATTGGACATTTGCAAAATTAAAGAAAACTGTAAAAAAAAACGGAAAAATTGGCAAATTAGACATTTGGAAAATTAAAGAAAATTGGTAAAATTGTAAAACAAATGGGAAAATTAGAAAATGAAAGAAAATTGGTAAAATTGTAAAACAAATGGGAAAATTGAAAAATGAAAGAAAATTGGTAAAATTGTAAAATAAAAGGGAAAATTCGTAAAAGAGAAAATTGGAAAATGAAAGAAAATTGGTAAAATTTTAAAAAAGGGAAAATTAGAAACTTAAAGAAAATTGGTAAAATTGTAACAAAGGGAAAATTATACATTTGAAAAGTTGAAAATTGGAAAATTTAGGAAATTGAAAACTGGAAAATTGGACATTTAAAGAGTTGGAAATTGAAAACATTAGGAAACTGGAAATTGGAAAATTTGGGAGACTAGAAAATGTAAAATTGGAACACTGGGGAAAATTAAGAAAATTAAAAATTTGAAAATGTGGCAATATAACAAGAGTCTACAGTAGGTAACACGGAAACCGACATTACCACGAAGTTCACCTAAATAGAATTGGAAATATTCGTAAATGACATGCGAAATCGTCCAATTACACGGTAAATAATCTTTATCAGACTATTTTAAGCGACCTCAAGAAAAAAGAATAATTTCGCATTACGCATTTCCTGAGATAACGACACTGTCATAGTACATACATTATGTTCAAACGAAAGAAATAAACCTCGTCGACATAATGTTTATTAAATGTAAATCACTTTCTAATTACCTACCGATAACTCAATCAATTCATTTGATTAGTTATCATGAATTATAAACCGTACCATAAATTCTGTCAGCACATAATTATCAACTTAAAAAATTAAATTAAAACAAGTAGCAACAGTATGAAAATTATCAATGCGTGGCTATCTTTTAATTACAAATTCCTGTAATTTTTAATTAATAAATAATTAGCGACTTATCATTATTAATTAATAATTAATTAAAGTGTCAATTTCCTTTTAAATCGAACACAGTTTACACGTAAATTAAAATAAAGAACGTGGAAGATAAAAGAGCTAAAAAGAAGCATTGTTTATCTTGATTCAAATTTGAAAAGCATCGTGGGACAAATCTGCGATAAAAATAGTGCCGGATGACTTCGTGTAAACAACACCGTTGATGCAATATAAGGAAATGATAAAACAAAGCTGCAAATGTAAGCAGTTACGTTGAATACGTTAATACGTAAACGCATAGTAAAAGTGTGAACGAAAGGTCATTGAAATCTTTTACTTTCGCTTTCCGTATGGACAATCGTTGAATCGACAATCGATAACTTTCTCAACACTCGGTCTCGAACTTCTAAGCTTCGATCGCTTATTTTGCGTAGATGCTTTAATTTCAAGTTTGCGTCGCATTCAGCTAAATTAACTATAGAATGAAAGTGGGTCAACTGTGACACAAACTTGCCAAACGTGTACGATGATTTAAATTTGGCGCGCAAATTGTTTTATATAGATTGCAATAAATACGTTAGAATGAAAATTAAAAATAATCCACAATTAAATGTGATTTTATAATTTGTTATTGTGAAAGAAAATTTAAAACATAAAAATGTACAAAAATTTAATTCAAATGTTATATAAAAATAATTAATAATCAACTTAATTATCAACAAACAATTAATAACAATTAAATCAATAGAACTCATATACAAAAATAATATATAAGAATTATTCCAATTGAATTTATATAAAAAAAACATTAATAACAGTTAATATAATAAAATTTACATACAAGTGAAAATAATGAAGATTAAACTAACAGAATTTTTACACAAAGTTAGCAATCTAATTTGATTTTCAAATTGGAGAAAATAATGACTGAAGCCAATCGCATTAGTAACCTGATTAATTAATTACATTGTAGTGCATCAAATAAGCAGAACCAAATTGTTTTCCTTCTATAATTAAAATACACGACAATCGTGTAATTAACAATTAGATTAAGCACGTGCTCATATGATAAAAATGTAACAGACTTAAACAATGAATTATGATTCATAATTATCAGAAACGGGATCAATTTAACGTTCATAAAAACAGCAACACCTTTCATAATTAATACGTTTAAGTATTGTAATGGTCTGAGCAATTTTCTTGCCCTAAAATTAAATTTAAATTTAATATACGTTCATATACGCAACGACAGATGCAAAGGAGTGGGGGGTCACGTGGTCATCACATTTATAATTGTGCATTTATTATGACATTTGTAACATTCGTAATATTTGCAATATTTATAACATTGATAACACATAGCATTTGTAACATTTATGACACTTATAAGATTATATTGATAACACTTATGTGATTTATAACATTTATAATATTGATGTGCAATAGTTTGACATTTAGAACATGTATAACACTTATGACGTTTGTAACATTTATGACACTTGTAACATTTATGATATTACATAGATAACACTGATCACATTTGTAACATTTATAACACTTGTAACATATGTAACACTTATAACATTTGTAACACAACACTCATAACACTTGCAACATGACATTTATAATACTGGTCCAACAATTTGTCTCAGAAACGATATCGAACTGTTCGATTTCCATAACACTAACCTCTTTTCACAAAGCAATTACAATCTTTCAAAAATAATACTTTACCAAAATCTCGAATCGAGAAACGAATCCTAGTTCCATCATTGACAGAGTAAAACAGAAAATAACCATTTCTATCACCAGTAATAAAGCTAAATCAAAATCGACGCTGTAGCAAGAAACTTCGAAGCTTACCTTACGGCGAAACTTTAATTCCAGATCAACATCGCGATTGACCGAGAAGTTCACTGTTGTTTCTCGAACAGTTTAAAACGAACACAGAACAGCCGTAGTATACGATTACTACATACCGGTTTATGTGGCACGAGAAAGAACAACACCACGAGACAACGAATGCGGCACAACTAAACGCGCTCGTTCCCTGTTTCTCTTGGAAGATTAAACGAAATCCAAAGACTTTCCTCCCCTCTCCCGTTTGTTTCTCCGTCGCTGATAGCTTTCGTTCGCTGTCCTTGTTCTGTCACTCGTCCGGCAACGTCTGTCATTGTTTCAAGCTTGTATTATGCGTCTTTGTCCCACTATTCGGTTTCCCAACGAGGCTTACTAATTCTTCTCCGCCTTGCCTCGGTTGTCCGCATCTACTGTGAAACGCCAACCGTTAACCGTCGCACGTGCGCAAACTCGCTAGGAAATACCTCTCGTTATACAATTAGTCGATTTTTCTTTTATTCATTTTTCTGTCTGGTGAAATCGATTAATGCACCGTATGAATTATAATACCTTAACGAGATGGTTGAAAATAATCGCTGGAAATAAATATGTAGGTTTTCGCTGGAAAACGTATTGCATATTTGAATTTAAATATTTGCCGCCAAAACGTTCAGTGATTTCTAAGTGGCGTTTACAAATTTTTTTATTTCAGATTTTAGAGATTTGATGAATTGGAAATTTGTTTAGATACTTAGATAGAAATTCGTAAATATAAAAGAATATAAATAAGAATAAAATAAATACAAATTTATAAATATAAATAATTTATCATTTTGAAAACTGTAAGTCAGAGAATTACTAATTACCTAAATTTAAAAATGTGAAAATATTAAAATGTAAAAATATTAAAATATAAAAACACAGAAATATAAAAATGTAAAAATATAAAAATATAAAACTATGAAAATATTAAAATTAAAAAACTTCTAAATATCAAATAACTATTAAAAGTTTCAACTGATTTTCGTAAGAGACACAGTGTACATCGATCGAAAGCTGCAGTGAACTTTACGAAGTTTATAAAATCTGCCCTGAAAACTTTGAATGTTTGTTATGCATACGTCACTGTTGCATCTCGAAAACTCCGGCGCGAAATGGAGAATGATATCACACAAGCGTAGCATTATTCAGCGTCGAAAGAAACGCGAAATTTATTGGTTTTAAAGGTAAAATATCGCAGCTATGACAGGCGGCGTTCCTATACGGAATTACGTAAATTTATTGTTGTTCGATAATAACGCGTTCGTGCGTTGTCATGTAACCAGCCAGATACTGGTTTGTAAATTGGAAATGATACAACACTTTTGCTTTTGATGTGTTGCTTTGTACACCATCAGAGGCCAAATTTGCACGGAATAATTAATGTAACTATGATAATTATTTCGTCTTTAATGAAATATTAAGTTTGATGCGGAGACGTGTATTATGTATGTTTGGTATTGGTACGTTTGATGCAACAAATTTGACGGACAGTTTATTGCAATATTTTTATTGAAAATATGTTTGAAAGAATAGTGATAAAAATTTATAAATATTCAGGTAGTTACGTTTTTTGAATCTGAAGATTTTAAATTTGATTTGTTTAAATTTTTTCGAGTGGAACATTAGAAAATATGGAAATTTGTAAACGGAGTGGGTGATGTTCGAAGTTTTTGAATTTTGAGATTTCAAAATTGAGATATATGTAATTTAAAAGTTTAGATATTGAAAAATTGAAAAATTGAAAAATTGAGGAATTGAGGAATTGAAAAATTGACGAATTGAAGAACTGAAGAATTGAACACTTGAAGAATTGAAGAATTGAAAAACTGAAAAATAGAAAAATTGAGAAGTTGAAGAATTGAAAAAATGAAACATTGAAAAATTGAAAAAATTGCCAAATTGTCAAATTGAGAAATTGAGAATCTGAAAAATTGAAAAAATGAAAAATTGACAAATTGAAAAATTAAAAAGTTGAGTATTGAAAAATTGAAAAATTGAAAAATTGAAAAATTGAAAAATTGAAAAATTGAAAAATTGAAAAACATTTCTAACAGTATTTAAGAACCTATTTAACCTAAATTTCAGAAGATATTTAGAAAGTCCAGAAGAAACATCCACAAATATCCACAAAATGAAAAAGCAGCACAAAACATCTAAATGATTCGTTGAAGCACGATCGATGCAACACGTAGATAAAGATTCTAATTAGCAGCACGATTTTAAAAATTAATCGCGTTCCGCACCGCTAAAACTGAAAGTCATAGAAAAACTAGAGATAGTAGAACGCGGCGAGTGAAATTTCCCCGTCGCGAAATCATAGTGCAATAACTGGCCGCTCTATAACTAAAAAGTATGTAACATGAAAGTTGCGATAATATTTTAAATAAGCGTTGTTAAACGCTTTCGAGGAGTAACAGGTGTACAACCTAGATACGCGGCGTTTATGCTGCACTGGCCTTCAGAAATATCTGCTGGAACGTACTCGTCCATGATGAAAATGTCAAATACTTCTTCACGTCGAGCTTTCTCGAAGATTTTCTTTAACGAGCAATATAATATAATGAAAATTGGAGAGGTTATGATACTTGAAACTATTTTTTATTTTCTTTGAGACGCTTTTTATTTAAGTATTGGAAGTTTGAGATTTTGTATCTTCCAGGGTTTTGCACATGAATATTTTAAGGATTTGACAAATTTGGAATTTGGGGAATTGTGGGAATTTAGGCAATTTGGGTAAATTGTGAAATTTGGAGAAGTTGGGAAATTTAGGGAATATACGGAATTTGGGGAATTTGTCGAATATGGAGAATTTGTGAAATTTGGAAATTTTGGAATTCGGAAATTTTGGAATTTGGAAATTTTGGAATTTGGACATTTTGGAATTTGGAAATTTTGAAATTCGGAAATTTTGGAATTTGGACATTTTGGAATTCGGAAATTTTGGAATTCGGAAATTTTGGAATTCGGAAATTTTGGAATTCGGAAATTTTGGAATTCGGAAATTTTGGAATTCGGAAATTTTGGAATTCGGAAATTTTGGAATTCGGAAATTTTGGAATTTGGAAATTTTGGAATTCGGAAATTTTGGAATTTGAAAATTTTGGAATTCGGAAATTTTGAAATTTTGGAATTTGGAAATTTTAGAATTTGGAAATTTTGGAATTTGGAAATTTTAGAATTTGGAAATTTTGGAATTTCAAAGTTTTGGAATTTCGAAGTTTTGGAATTTGGAAATTTTGGAATTTGAAAATTTTGGAATTTGGAAATTTGAGAATTTGGAAATTTGAGAATTCGGAAATTTTGGAATTTTGAAAATTTGCAATAACATTCAGACATTTCACATAAGCCACAGTAACCTTGTATCTCCCTGAAAGTTTACAAAGTTGATTTATAGTTCTCATCAAAAATTGAGCCGTTCTATATTAAACCGATTGTGATTGCAGAAAATAACTACGTAACCCTTTCATAAGTACCCTTAATAGAAAATTTCCTTCGCTAATCTCGATCAGAACATTCCGCAACGAAGGCTATTGCTAATAATACAGCATTTCGAGAAAGTACAGCTAATGATCACCCAACACGGTATTAGTTATCGCATCGATTCGAGATAACTTAAATCCCATCAATCACTTGAAAGGTTAAAATTTTACGTGTCGTCAAAACCGACAACTGAAATGAACAGATGATATTCATTTTTAGAAAAAAATATTTTTTATGTATGTTCTATTTAAGGTTTTTTAAATATTTTAGAAATTTGGGAATTTTTAAGACTTCGAAATTTTTGGGGAATTTCGGGAAATTTGGGGCATTTGGGGAATTTGGGAAATTTGGAGAATTTAGGGAATTTAAGGAATTCGGGGAATTTGGAAAATTTGGGAATATGGAAGTTTTGAGATTTGGAAATTTTAGAATTTGGAAATATTGGAATTTGAAAATTTTGGAATTTGGAAATTTTAGAATTTGGAAATTTTGGAATTTCAAAGTTTTGGAATTTCGAAGTTTTCGAATTTGGAAATTTTGGAATTTGAAAATTTTGAAATTTGGAAGTTTTGGAATTTGGAAATTTTAGAATTTGGAAATTTTGGAATTTCGAAGTTTTGGAATTTGGAAATTTTGGAATTTGAAAATTTTGGAATTTGGAAGTTTTCGAATTTGGAAATTTTGGAATTTGAAAATTTGAAAAATTGATAATTAAGAATCTACAAATTTCAAGTTTGTAATATCTGAAGCCTCAAAAATTAAAAAATCTAAAAACCGTAAAAATGTCGAAACGTCCAATCTCGTAAAACTTTATTCGCAACTTGCTCAACTTTTCTTCATCCTCATCCGAACTAATAAACTGAGAACGTTATTTAAAAAAGTTGCCCAGTCCACATTTTAAATAGACCCATTTAAAAAGTTGTCCAACTTTTTCGACATCTAACAAAACCAAAAAACCATTCCGTTTTTCTCTATCGTTCCCTTAATGACGCGCGATGACGCATCCGCTTTAAAGTCCACTACTCTTGAAGATCCCGCAAAGTAGCTGAATAGAACGCACGGTATCTAAGGTTCACGGTGACACACATACATCATACATCTTGGAACGGCTGCGATTTAAACGGATCAATGAAATGCGCCCTCGCGAACGCTGCACAGCCCAGGGGCTTTTCTCGTTTCTGCACCATAGAGTATAGAGCGTCGGCATTGCGATGAAGACGACGAGAAGATACATTTGGGATTGGCACCACGCCAACAGGTCCTTCGGGAAATATATATATATACATATATAAAGGGTGGCCCAGGATGGGTGGTGCAATCTGGATGGGTGGTGATTCTATATGCAAAGATCGCTTGAAAATGTGGAATGAGATTTGCCTTTTGGGGCAGATTATGACCCTACGTTCGGTTTTTCCAACTTTTACTCCTGTCACTGTCACGTTCTTTAAATTTCGGGATTTACGGCCACGGTATCTGGCAATTCGGAAATTTAGGGCGATGGAAATTGGGGATTTCTACGTTTCGGAATGTAGAATCGGAAATTTGTGTGGGGAACATTTGGAAATTTGATCATTTGGGTGGGTGGAGGTTTGGCAACTTCAGAACGTGATAACCTAAGTAGCACGGTTGAAAATTTGGAAATTTGATCATTTGTTAAGGAAACATGGAAATTAAAGAATTTGGTAAAATGACAACTTGAAAATCTGAACACTTGAATAATCCATAACTTGAATACTTTAAGACCTAAATAATAGAAAACTTGAATACTTGAGAAAACTCGAATATTTTAGAGAACTTGAATACCTCAGATAACTTG